CCCCCCACCTTGCAGTGTCTGTGCCTCCTGGTCCTTGTGCCACAGGCCCATGAGGGAATGGGGTACCCATCTTGGTCACCACCTGTGCTGTGCTCACCCCACTGCTCCCAGGATGACTAAATCAAGCAACAAAACTACAGTAACAGGGTGACAAGAGCTGCCGGGAAAGCAAAGCGGAGTTGGAGCCTGGCATGGTGAGGGATCGCTTGGCATGTCCCCCTGCAGACGGGGCTCAAGGGCTGGGATCTCGGTGCGGAGAGCTGTGCAGTTGCTGCCCAGCAGAGCCAGGGCTCCCTGTTGTGCCAGGGCTCCACACGCGCGGCCCTCGCCCCCAGGCACCCCGGCTGTCTGCAGCAGGGAGCCTGGTTCCGAGGGAACGGGCCAAATCCTGGGGAGCTGCTCCAGTTCCGCAGCTCCAAGTTCCTACGGCTGTGGGGATTGTGCACAGAGGGGTGGGGGGAGATGGCAGGGGACTCATCTACTACATGCTAGCCTGCTGCCCACCCTCACTTCTTGACCTTGCCCTGAGCAGCGACAGCTTCCATGGCCTTGCGCACTGTCTCCTCATCCCCCAGAAACTGCATGGGCTTGACAGGTTTCAGGTTCTTGTCCAGCTCGTAGACGATAGGGATGCCAGTGGGCAGGTTCAGCTCCATGATGGCCTCTTCTGACATGCCTGCGAACACAGAGGTGCCATCAGTCACAGCCCTGCTTGCACAGTGACAGCAAGACCCCCATGATACCACTGCAGGGGTGACGTACCTTCCAGGTGCTTGACAATTCCACGCAGGCTATTGCCGTGGGCAGCAATAAGGACTCGTTTTCCCTCTTTGATCTGTGGGACAATTTCCTCATTCCAGAAAGGCAGAGCCCGGGCGATGGTGTCCTTCAAGCTCTCACATGTCGGCAGCTGGTCCTCCGTCAGGTCAGCATAGCGACGGTCCTGGGGGAACGGCCACACTCACGCAGCAGCCCAACACAGTGTGGGAAGGCAGTGGCAGGACCTTCACCCCCCCCACCCCAAATTCCCTGCCTGGGGACCTGCTACACATAGGCAAAGCTGGGCTTGGAAACAAAGAAGCGCCCCTGAGGTTTGAACCTGTGCTCAGCTACAGTCGGGGCTCTGAACCCCTCCTAAGGAAAACCACACATTGCTTGCTCTGGGCAAAGAAACCAGAGCAAACATGCATGCACAGGTCACAGGACTAATGATTAACGGCTGTCATCCCCTCTACTTTGAAACTGTCCATGCAATGCCCAAAAGTTCAACCTCTCTGGGGAGAGAGCAGGACAAACAGCCCAGTGCCGACCAGCACCGTGCATGATGGTTGTGACTGCCGCAATGGAGGCAGAAGGGACCTTGCAGAGGAAGCCAAACCACACCGCAGGGATGTAAGGTGGCTTTTAGGAGCCTCCCAGCAAGGTAGACGAAGCACAATAGGTCTTACCTTGCTGATGGTGCTGTAGAAGGGGTGATCAGACTGCATGGGAGGCGGAGGGATGTCGTACGAGCGCCTCCAGATCTTCACCTGCGCCTCGCCGTGCTTTGCCGCTGTCTCAGCCTTGTTCAAACCGGTAAGAGCCCCGTAGTGCCTCTCGTTCAGGCGCCACGTTCGGATAACGGGTAACCACATCTGATCGATGGCGTCCAGGACGGTCCAGAGGGTACGGATGGCCCGTTTCTGTACCGAGGTGAAGCAGATGTCGAACTCGTAGCCCGCATCTAGAAAAGACCAGGGAAAACGGGGGGGAGACGGGAAACACACACCGAGGAGGTGAGTGCTAGGCCTTATGCAACCGCTGAGGGCCAAGGGCGGTAGCCTCACCGCGCCAGTACCGGTCGCGTTCCCGCAGCCACCGGCCTGTCCCTTAGGTAGATTTTAGGGCGGGCCGGCGGCGGGGACACAATCGGTACCGGCTAAGCCTCCCCCCACCAGTACCTGAGGCTCTCCTCTCTGTACTGAAGGCCCCCCCTGCCCCCGGCATCGGAGAACCCCAAAACCACCTCCGGTAGGCCCAAGGCGGCCGCACCTCGTCCTCAAGGCCTACCCAGCTTCCCCCTCCCCCCCTTTACCGGTCACCGGTACCTCGGAGGGCCTCGCCGCCGCGCCGCGCCTCTTGCTGACCAGCGGGGCTGAGATCAGCATCGTACCAACCGCTGAAGCGGTTCTCCAGGTTCCAGGCGCTCTC